CTCTCTCTCTCTCTCTCTCTCTCTCTCTCTCTCTCTCTCTCTCTCTCTCTCTCTCTGTCTGTCTGTCTCTCTCTCTGTTTCTGAAAGGAGGGAGGGACGGAAGGAGGGAGGAAGCTGAGGCTAAAAACCAGCAATTTGCCTGAATAAAATTCACCGTGCTAACGAGGTCGTAGGCGATACCATTTGGAAAAGGGGGATCACTTATTCCCGAGAGAATATAACCTGATATAGATTAACGTACCATATAAATAGATAGACATATCAGATATAGATAGATAGAAATAGATAGAATACCAAATCTTGAATGAAAAGGTATTAATTATTGGTATTTTCCTGGTTTTTTAGTGGATTCTAAATGGTACATTGTTACTGCTAGGTACTCAATACATGGTTTCCACAAAAGTGTGAATTATTTTTCCAAAGACTTCAAGGACTTGGACCTATTTCCAAGGACATTCAATGACAAAAGGAAAAACTAAGGACTTTCAAGGACAAAGGACATAATTCAAAGACTCACGGGCTGTGGGGACCCTGAGTTGGGTTCCTGTACTAGCAGCAGCTATATCTATAGATAGAGTCAAACCTCTATCAGAAGATACTTCTATAGAGTAAACACCTGTCTATAGCGGTCACATTTCCTATGTAAATACAGTGAAAGCACTACCTAGAAACCAAACACCACCTCTATAGAAAAGACACCTGTCTATAAAGGGGTACGCCGCATTCCCCCCCAAGTGACATTTATACACAAGGTTGACTGTACCCCGGTAATCACGACAACAATCAATATCAACAACAACAATAACAAACAACAATGAAACAAATAAACAAACAACAAACAACGAGTCATAATTTTACAGGGATGGTATCGCTAACCACGAGAGGGGCTTCCTCGTCCGACTCCTGCTCCTCCTCGGAAGACTCCGGCTTCTTCTCTACCTTTGCCTTTTTCACTTGCTGAACCGGTCCCCGATCCCCTTCTCCTCTCTTCCCGACTCCCGGAGTATTCTGCAAGGAAAGCTGATGTACGAATGGTTGCGCACGTACGTAGGTAGCGACTGCACGCATGTGCGCGTTCACGAACGCATGTGCGTACTTAATTGCACATCACTGTATAGAACAAATTTGTCGTAACTTGTTATTATATGTCGAATGTATCAATAGTTGTAGTAGAAGACACTCAAAATTAGCAGCGATGGGCATATCCCTGAAAGATGCTACAATGCTGCTGCTCCTTTATATATCGATGTTACCTAATTAGCCGCCCTAATTAATTGTTCAGCAGTACAACTTGTACATACATTGACCTCATTGAAGATTTTCATGTCGACTTCCAGCGAATCTCGGTACGGTTTTTTTTCTGATTCAGTCATCGCTGTCCATGTGGCTCCACCTATTGGCACAGCAATATCAAGCACGTAGAAGTAATGCTAAGATTGGTTACATTTCAAACTCATGCAGGCATCGATTAATACCCCCGTCACACTGGACGGCGACCATCCGCGACCGTACGGCGACCAGAAAATGTACAAGGTCGCCGACAAACGCGAACACAACGCGAGAAAAAGTCCCAACAAATTACAAACTTGAAAAAAAACGGCGCTCTTACCGCGACCTGTGCGATCATACCGCGTTCTCACGGCGCGCCCGCCATGACCTCTCCGCGCTTATGGCGTTTCTATTGAGATCTATGGGCTTGGCAACGGCGATCA